GCTGTATAGTTATAACCGGTCAGTGTATTTTAGGAATGGGGAAACTGAGGTCAGAAAGGGGATGTAATTTGTTCAGGTCCTGAGGCAAATGACTTAGCTTTCTGAGGGATTATGGACCTGCCCCCCATCCTGGTTTTGAGACTAAGAGAACTGATGTGTGGGCCCCACCCCCCAGGTTTTGCAAACTGTAGCAAAATAGAAGATATACAGGAAAGAATAATATCTGGGTCAGACCGGAGACCCAATTGCATTTGTTAGTGGTTAAAAAAAAATGGGTTTTGGATCCAGACCCCACTTATTACCAGCTGTTTCACCTTGGGTGAGTTGTAGACCTTGATGACCCTATTTCCTCATCCGAGCAGTGGGAATAATGCAGAGGATTGTTGCAGAAATGAAATGAGACAGCGCACAGGGAGCCCTCAGCACTGTGTCTGGCATTATGAAGTGCTTGATAAAAGTCTCATTATGACTTAACTTCGGCTTGAAAATGTCTGGCATCTAGGGCCTGTTGTGGCCTCCTTACAGCCCAGGTGAATCAGTCCCCAGGCACCAACACTGTACACAATAATCTTGTTCTGAGGGTTAGATTTAGGGGGTAGGGAAGGCCTTGGAGTCTGGTTTTCCTTGCCTGTGGAAAGGACAGACTGACATGGGAGAATGAGGTCTGCCAGGTCCTGAAACCCAGCCTGACTTGGCCAGTCCTGGCCGACTCAGACTTCCCTCCTCTTCAACACCCTCCTCCATTTCTGACTCAGCAGGAAAGGGGCCTGGAGCCCTGTCCCACATCTGGGCCTCTCCATTCCTTTCTGCTGCTGTTAGTAAACAAGGGCCACGCCCATGGGGTGACTGCTCCAATTTGAGCAGGGATTGACTCTGATGATCTAGTCTTTAGGGGCAAAAGTCCCAGGCCTCACGCACCGGCAAAGGGACCCCGAGGAACAGCCGGGCAGCAGGGAAATTTGGGATGATTCTGAGAATGACAAGATAGAGCAGGATGGCCAGATATGCCCTGGCCCATGTCTGGGGAGACAGGTCCCCTCCCCTGTCCAAAGGGGACCCTAAATCCTGATTTAACTTTTCCCACTGGGGTTGAAAGCCCAGGCTGTGGAATTAGGTGGGCCTGGGTTTGAATCCCAGCTGGACCATTTATAGGGAAGTCTTTGAGCCCTTTGCTTCCCGTGGAGCCTGCTTCCTCGTCTGTCCGAGTCAGGGACTCCCTCCTCACTGTGCTCCATAGTGAAGTGCCCAGCACAGCATGTCGTAGCAGGGGCAGGTGCTAAGTTCATGGAGCTCCTGTCATTATTACCCATGAGATAATGGATGTAAAACGTTTCCTTTTTGCCAAAAATTTAAAAATAAAAGTAAAAGCTACATGAATATAAGGGGTCATTTTAGACAATGCTTCCTGAAGTGTATTTTGCAGGAAACTGGTTTCCTGGAATGCTGATAACCGTTCCTTTAAAAAAAAAAAAAAAAAAAAGGTCTTGCAGCCAGTATGTTTGGGGAATGCAGAACTGAACAGGAGTAAAATAAACTTCTTTAAGGTTAAATAGTGTTAACATACACTGAATCTTTGAGAGAAGTATAGAATAGACCAGAGGTGGCTAGAATATTGGCAGTTTCACAGAACAAATTCAAGAGAAAAGTCTGGGTTTGGTGTTAGTGTGCCTTCAACATCTCATGCTTAACTAATCCCCCTTTTTAAACCTGGTGGGTCAGCATTATTACAGATTAATCCGTATTCAGGTGGTCAGACCTAGGGGCAGCTTCATGGTCATCTTGATCAGCGTTTCTCAAACATCAGTCATTCCAGTACCACCTTCATGATTCTCGTCCTAGCTAAATGCTATTTGTACCATTCCCTGCTTAACATTTTTAAGTAAACCTATTTTTTTTCCGTAAATAAGTTCAAAAGACTTCAAAGCAGTACTGTAGCTGGAAAGCCTTGCTTGCCATATGGTAAAAATACAATAAAAGTAGTCATTAAAACCCTGCATGAATGCTGTTGCCTGAAGGCCCTGACCTGAGATTTGCTTTCTAGGTCTTTTCTGAAAGTGGAGATGAGAAGCATGGGAGAAGTGCATTTTAAAAACCAAACTGAGAGAGCTTCTCATCTGTAGTCAGGATTCAAAGAGAATTGGGGGGGGGGTTCACTTCCTGTCTGCTTCAGTGTTATTTACTCCAGCACATACCACCTAGAATCTCAGGACCAATATTTACTTACACGCATCCCACCTGTGAGTGGACACTGACCTAGGCCCCCACTTCGAGGAAAGCAGACCCAAGGGGGGACTGCCTTGCCTGACGACACGCCACGAGGGAGTAGGTGACCAGGGGGTTAGGACCTGTGTCCCGATGCCCTCTTCAAAGTGATCGCTACTTGGTCTATCTGAAGACCTCTCCTCCAGGTCTGCTTTGGAATAACCTGGCTAAGAATGTGGGGGCTCTGTGTCCAGAGCAGAACAAAGTCCAAGCTGGTCTTGAAGGTTGGTTCAGAGGCCCAAGAGATCGGCCTGGGTTTCAGCTCCCAGCTGGTTTACCAGAGGGGCTGTCAGAAGAGGTAATTGCCCTATGGGAAGGGAGTGCTCCCTGGAAGGGGCAAAAGGGGTGGCAGCTCCAGGCACTGAAGCTCATCTCTGTCTTTCTCTCCCCGTGCTGCCTTGGGCCTGGGTCATTTCAGACGAGCCTCAGGTAAGATGGGACTGGGCTCCCTGGCTGCCGCCCCAGCAGCTCCCACCCTCCTGGGCCCAGTCTCAGGGGCAAAGGGAAGAAGTGGGGGAACACAGCTTGAGGTGTGGGTGTGGGGAGGGAAGGGGCGCACGGACAACTCACACCTGCCCTGACCCCACCCTCCCTACAGCTCTACACCCTCGCCGTGATGGGTCCAGGGCCACCTGATCGCCAGCCAGCCCAGATCTCTCGCCGCTACTCGGACTTTGAGCGGCTGCACCGAAACCTGCAGCGACAGTTCCGGGGCCCCATGGCCGCCATCTCATTCCCCCGGAAGCGCCTGCGCCGGAATTTTACAGCAGAGACCATCGCCCGCCGCAGCCGGGCCTTCGAGCAGTTTCTGAGCCACCTGCAGGCAGTGCCTGAGTTGCGCCTTGCCCCGGACCTGCAGGACTTCTTCGTGCTGCCCGAGCTGCGGCGGGCCCAGAGCCTCACCTGCACCGGCCTCTATCATGAGGCTCTGGCGCTCTGGGCCAACGCCTGGCAGCTGCAGACCCGGCTAGGCACCCCCTTGGGCCCAGACCGCCCTCTGCTGACCCTGGCTGGGCTGGCTGTGTGCCACCAGGAGCTGGAGGATCCTGGGGAGGCCCGCACGTGCTGTGAGAGGGCCTTGCAACTGCTGGGGGACAAGAACCCCCACCCTCTGTTGGCACCCTTTCTGGAGGCCCACGTCCGGCTCTCCTGGCGCCTGGGCCTGGACAAACGCCAATCAGAGGCCCGGCTCCAGGCCCTGCAGGAGGCAGGCCTGACCCCCACACCACCCCCCAGTCTCAAAGAATTGCTCATCAAGGAGGTACTGGACTGACTTTGCCTAGACTTCAGGCCACTGTGGGGAGAGGCACCGTCCCAGGATGGAGGGTGGGGGTGAGTAAGGAGGACATGAATAGCAGTTGGGAAGCTGTAGGGGGTGCTGGGAACCCCTAGAAGCCCTACGAAGAATTTGTAGCACACCAAGGAACCATGTTCCTTCTGTCGAGCTGGGCTCAGGACAAGCTTTGGCCGGGGTTGCCCTGGGGGGGTGTAGGGAGCAAGTCTGATGCAGCCTGTCCAGCTCATGAGTGTCTGGGGACCATGCTCCAGTGTAGGTCGGCATTACCTCTTCCTTGGCCACATGGCCAAGGACTCTTCCCCTGGAGTCCTGGAGTACAGCTGCCATCTGGCCCAGGGGAATTAAAGGCCAGCAGCTCCAGTGGTATTAGTCTCTTTATTGGGTTTGGGGACAGAAGGCCCAGCCCTCGATTGTACGGAGTTGGTGGGGAGAAGGGTGATCCTTGAAGACCCAGGCCAAGCTGGTCCCTCTGGCTACAGCTTGCTCTCTGAGGCCCAGGGCTTCACTCGGATCACGCCCTCCTGGGCACAGGACACAGCCAGGACGCCGTCCCGACGCCACAGTCGCCCTTGGACCAGCCCCCGGGAGCCACCTGTGGGTGAGGGGAAGGGTGAAAACAGCCTTCCCCTTCACCAAACGTGCTTCTTGAAAAGGGTGCAACCGGTCTGGCTGCCCCATACAAGGGCACATCGAGTGTTTTGGCTTCTCCCAGTCTCTAAGTGCCGTTTGATGAGCCTATTAGGAATGGTCCCTGGGGGTAATTCCTGAGGGAACCCCACTTGACAGTTTAAAAGCACTTTCACATATCCACTGGCTTCCTCAAAAAGCTCACAGCGGGGAGAATTCTGAGGGCAGTCTCAGGTCAGTAGCTTGGCTAAGCAGATCCACCCCCACTCTGGCCACTTGTGGTAGGAAACCCGGCAGTTCCCTTTCTAACGAATCAAACCGGGTCCTCCAGGGCGGTATTTCACACCAAAAAAACCCCCATCCTCACCCCTACCAGGAAAAATGGGGTGGGGGGGTACCTGGGGCCATCACATCTGGCCACCCTCCCTCCCCGCCTGCAGACTCCCTTGCTAGCCTTGGGCCTGAGTGGAAGGTTCTGGAGGGAGCTGCTGGTCTCCCTTACACAGAGTAGAGCTCACTTAGTTCTCATAGTAGCCAAGTGAAGCAGGCCTCGGCCCATTTTCCAGATGAAGACACTGAAGTCCAGGGAGCCTCAGGCACTCAGCCATAAGGAACTGGCCAAACCAGGTGTCCTAACAGCAAGGCCGCTGATCTGTGTTGCGACACTTCTGGTGCTGCAGAGTCCCCCTTCCCTGAAGAGAGGATCCCTTAAGTTTTGTCCCTGTTTGATAGAGCAAGGCCTTCATCTGAAGTGTGCTTCCCCAGAAAGGAGCCCAGGGCTCTGAGACTAGACAGTGCTGAACGCGTCTGGGCTTCCCTGCACACCACGAGGGTCCAAGTAGCGGAGCCCTTAGAGACTACGGAGGGTCCTGACCCCCAACCAGGTTGGTTAATCCACACCATCACTCAGGGAGCTGCTTAAAAATAATAGTTTCCTGGATTTCATCCAAGACCTGTGAGTCAAAATTTTGGGGGTGGAATCTGAGTATCTATTTTGAAAAAACTCCCCCAACTGGCAGTATGACATGCCACCACTTTCAGCTACCACTGCTCTCATGCGACCCTATTTGTTTAGATGGGGAAATTGAGGCTCAGGAGCTGAGACTGGCCCAGGATCACACAGAGAATCTGAAGTGCTTCCGGGCCTAGAACTGATCTCTGACACTCCCTGCATGCTACAGAAATTCAGCTGAGCAGGTGTCCCCTCTCGAGCCTCACGCTGTCATTTTGAAGACAGAAATGCCAGAGGCGGGACGCCTGGGTGGCTCAGTTGGTTCAGCGACTGCCTTCGGCTCAGGTCATGATCCTGGCGTCCCAGGACTGAGTCCTGCATCAGGCTCCCTACTCAGTGGGGAGTCTGCTTCTCCCTCTGACCCTACCCCCTCTCATGCTCTCTCTCACTCACTCTCTCCCTCAAATAATAAAAAAAATCTTAAAAAAAAAAAATGTCAGAGCCTGGGGGTGGGCAGGAGAGGAAGTGTCAGGCAGTGCCCCACAGGATCACCCGAGAAGGCAGGCTTCCTGCCCACCACGCCCCCCCAGCCCCCTTGTCCCACGTGGCCCCGGACTCACCAGCCCAGGGGCTCTCACACTCATAGAGCATCCAGTGGTCAGCTCGGAAAGGGGTGTGGAACCACATGGAGTGGTCCAGAGAGACCATGAAGTGCACCTTGTGCTGCGAATGGTGGGGCAGCACTGCCGTGCCCAGGAAGGCGTAGTCCGAGATGTAGGCAGCCACGCAGCAGTGCATCTTCATGTCGCCCTCCCCTGCAACGTGTGGGGGCCCGGTCAGCCCTGGGCTGCTGGGCTATACAGCCCAGGACCTGCAGGGAGGTGGGCAGAGAGGGGCTGCCATGCACAGATGTGGAGAGTGCTCACTGCATAAGGGCACCTGGCCCAAGGTTGTGTGTGTGTGTGTGTGTGTGTGTCACGTGTGTGTGTGACAGGGGACAAAGGAGGCAGGGATGGGCAGAGGGCAGGGCTAAGTGAGGTCTGAAATCCAGTCTTCACTCCCTAAGTCTCCCACGCTGAGCCCTCTGAGGGGTGCAGCTTGCACACAGGCCATGTGGTTAGCAGGGGTCCTGGAGGAGAATCTCCGCAAGGTGCCTTGCCTTCCCCAGAAAGGGCCTCCATTGGGATTATCGTAGTCACCTCCCCCTTATCCCCACGCTGGCGGTGGACAGGGTTCCGGTGAGAAGCTACTTCCCCATCATGCCGACAAGGAAACAGCAGGCCCAGAGGGGAAGTAACATGCCCAGTGCCACAAAGGGCATGTAAGGTCCAGGCCTAGCCCCTGGAAGAGTGTTTTCCTCCAGTCCTTGGGGTCCTCTTACCGATATGGCCCCGGGCTCGCACCCAGAACATCTGTTTGGGGTCCATGCTCTGCAGCTGGCTCAGGGTAGGTGGCTTAACCGGCTTAATCTCAATGGGCACCTCCTTGGCAGCAATTCGGTTCAGTCCCACTCGGTACTTCTCTTGGAGGTTGGGGTCCCTGAAAATAAAGGGGAAAGGGAGAGCCTCTCTGAGCTGCCTCTGTGACCCCCTCATTCCTCCATGGGGACTCCTGACTTTTCCCCACCACTCCCCTCCCGTCTGACAGGCAGAAGAGCATAGTGTCTGAATGCTTTCTCTGCCACTTAGGAGCCCTGTGACCTTGTGCACGTTAGTAACCTCGCCGAGCCTCTCTTCCCATCTGCAAAATGTAGACAATGACAGCAGCTTACCTCCTAACGCTTCGGAGTAGCAAGGCGGACCCTATCAGAGGGTCCCTTCTAAGCATTTCACATACACTACCTCGTCACGACAACCCTGTGAGGTAACGCTATCATCACCCCCCTCTGATAACTGACCTGAAATAAGCAGCGGGAGTTCAAGGAGCTTGCTCAGGAAGTGGAGAAGGCAGGATGTGGACCCTGGCAGTCTGGCTCCATGGTTCAGGCTTTTATCCACTTCGCTATTCTCAACTTTCAGGAAGCAGGCTGCGCAACTGGGACCAACCTACCTAACCCTAAGCAATTAGGAAGACCGTGTTCCGGGGGAGAGTGGGGAGCCCATCTCCAGGGAAGCCCCTCCACCCTGGTAACAGCCACCCCGAGTGCTCTTCACCAGGGTTTCCATTTTCAGCCCCACCCTCTAAGGCACCGTCCCCCAGACCTTACGTGACAGTGGGAAGGTTCTGGACCTGCACTGCCCATTCCGCTAGCCGCTAGCCACATGTGGCTGCTGAGTGCTTGGAGTGTGGCTAGTGTGACGACAAAATTGTTCATTCTATTTAACGTTACCTTAATAGAGCCACATGTGGCTAGTGGCCTCCTACGTGGACAGCACAGCTCTCTTATTTAGGGACCTTTAAGACCAATGTCCGCCTTTCCTTTCAGCGAACATTTGTGAGCTCTGACAGACCACGCTCTGTGCTTACTCCTCTCTGTCGGTAGTGGTGTTAACTACAATTCACGAGCTGTCACGAAGTGACTTATTATCTCTGACCTCATTTAATCCTCCTACAGCTTTATGAGGTAGGAATTATGATTAACCCCCACTGTGAGCAGAGGCTGAGTGGGAAAGCAACTTGCCCAAACTCACACAGCTAGCAGAAACAGAGTCTACATTTGAACGCGGACCTTTACCGAAAGATCAAACCCGTAACCATCCCTTCAGTACTCTGCTGCCTCCCCTGCATGCAGCACAGGACAGGGGAGCTCTCCTTAGGATTCAGCTGTGAAGGAGGCAGAACAGACATGACCACTCCCAATTTTTAGACGAGGCAGGACTCTGAGAAGCTGGGGAGTCGGGCCAAGTCACACAGCAGGGGAACACTAACAGAGGCACAGACCTGGCCAGAATCCTTGTTCTGTCCTGTGTCGGGACCCAGAGCTCTTTCCCCTGCCCCAGCATGTTCCCAACTTTATTAGCTGTGATCCAAAAGAAATGCATTTCACCAGGTGATACTCAAAATACTGAACACACACTAAGGCAAAGGCAACAGGGACCGTCACCCCTGCCAGGCATTACCTCCTAGGCTGCTGGGTCATGAGTGATCCGAAAGGAGGAGAGGGATCACTCAGGGACCGGAGAGATACGTACCAAGTGATCACAGAAGTGTTTCCATGTTTTAACAGTCAGTAAAGCTGTAACAGTACCTGAACCGGCCGAATCAGAAGCTCAGCCTTTACATCATAACTGAACACGCTCGCCCGTGCGCACAGGTACACACACCACAAACAATCGACACGCAGGATCCACAAGAGGGGCTTACCCTTACTACACACAGTACGCCCCGATAGCCGTATTTTTTTAAATGCCGGTCAAGACCCACTAAAGGATTCCGTGACCCACTCCCAGGTGACAACTGCAGGTGTCCTGGAGCCTCCAGCTCTCTCACCTTAAATACTGGTCGATGAGGGCCTCGTGGTCCAGCAGCTCTTCGGGTGGGGGCACGCTGGGCATGGAGAACTGGTGCTGCACGGGGCTGGGCTGAGCCTTCTGGAAGGAGGCCTGGCAGATGAAGATGGGCTTGCCGTGCTGCACGGCCTTCACGGAGCGCACCGAGAAGCTCGTCCCCGTCCGCGTCCGCTCCACCTGGTACAGCACTGGCACCTTGAGGTCCCCTGCGGCATGCACAAGTGACACGGTGAGTCCAAGTGAGCCCCGTGTGAGCAGTCGTCATCACCACGGCTGGACAGGCACCTCCGCTACTCGTTCTCTGTTCTGCTCGGTAGCCCCTGACTGAGGCCTGCCACGGCCCCCGGGACCAGGGATGCAGCGAGAATACCAGAGCCTGTCCTTTCTCGCCACAGCACAGAGCAGGGGGACGTTCCCTGCATCCAAATCCTGGCCTGGCCACCTCTCACTAGCTGTGTGGCCTTGGGAAAATCTCTGAGCAGTTTACCCATCTGTAAAATAGGGATCATTAGTGCTTAGACCTCTCAGGATGTTAAGGAGAATTCAATTAGTCATAGTTTAAAGTGTTTAGAGTAACATCCAGCATGCAGTAAGTGCCCCATGTGTTTGTTAAAGAAAATAATCCCAGCTTTTGTCTGGTTTCATCTGTGACTGGGATCTTGTCATGAGTCCAGTACTAATCTTCTAGATCAGAGGTCCACAACTCTGGCCTGCACCTTTTTGTTTGTTTTAGAACAAGCAAAAGCTATTTATTCAGAGTTTAGTATAGCAAGGGAGTCAGTCACCGTCACTTACGTTTGGCAGAAACTCAAAGGCAGGCAGAGGAGCAGGAAAGCATTACCGTGAAACAAGATCGAGTATGTGCCATGACAGGAAGCTGCTGCCACGGGGAGAAGCAGGGAAGCTAACTAGAGGCAGGGCAGCCTCTGTAATTGGGTAGGTGTGCATATTTGGCTTTCTCTGGTTGGTCCTAAGTTGGAAGTGGGGACAAAAGTTAGGGAAGCTATTAGCTATTAATCAAGTCTCCGGTGTTTGGGCTGACTGTTAACAGGGGCTATGGTTTGGCTTCCTGGACTGGTTGCTAGAGATGGTGACCTGACTTCCTCCCTGAGGTCTGACCTGTAGACAGCAGGCTGGCTTCCTAGGCTGCTTGCTGCCCACTGTGGATCAGAGTTCTTCTTCTTCTTTTTTTTTTTTTTAAGATTTATTTATTTTGTTGGGGAGGAAGCAGGGGAGAGGTCTTCAAGCAGACTCCCCCGAGTGCGGAGCCCGACGCGGGGCTTGATCTCACGACCCATGAGATCATGACCTGAGCCAAAACCAACTCAGACACACAACTGACTGAGCCACACAGACAGCCCAGAGTTCTATTTTTATATGTGGTCTGGCCATTATCTGTTTGACTGTTCATTCTCTCAGGAAAAGCCTGCTGTCAGTCAGTCACTTCATCCTAGATGCAAACAACTGTCACTTGGCCCTTCTCTTTTGGATGTCTGCATCCCCAAGGTAGGATGGAATAGGCCTGTGTTTAGACCTATTAGCTAGCCCTCAACAAATCAGTCAGGAGGGTTTTTAGGAGGAGAGAGTCTCCTTGGTGTCCCTGAAGTCCTTCAGTGTCTCTCTGATTCAGGCAGATGTTGGAGAACTCTGACACCCTGGCAGTGAGACATCTTGGGGATGATTTTCAATATTCAGATCAAAGAAGCTGGTCTCAAAAAGTGTTGCTTCCTCCACCATCATCCAAATGGGGAGCCAACCAGGCACCGGAGGCTCATTCAACAGCAAAAACTATCACCAACCAGAGCCGGCTGGTTTGCTCAGCAATCTGCTGGCCAGCATTGCCAAAGGGGCATTTTTATCAGAATGGGAGCTCAAGGTTGAAGGCCTTTAGGAAGGGCTTCCCAAGAGTCCAGATCCTGGAAATAGTTAACATGTGCAATCTGATTTCAGGGGCTGGAAAGGAACCCTCCTCTCCCTCCCAACAAACTTAAAAAAGGAAAAAAAAAAAATGGGGTGGCTGGGTAGCTCAGTTGCTTAAGCATCTGCCTTCGGCTCAGGTCATGATCCTGGAGTCCCGGGATAGAGCCCCACATTGGGCTCGCTGCTCAGAAGGCAGAGTCTGCTTCTCCCTCTCCCTCTGCTTCTCCCCCTGCTCATGCTCACTTTCTCTCTCAAATAAATAAATAAAATCTTAAAAAAAGAGAAGAAAAAGAAAAAAGGCTCTAACCTAATCCTTAGGCTGTAGCTAAAACATAGTACTTCCAGTTACTAGTGATTTACCTTTCAGTGTGAATGAGTTCCAGACCTGTTCTTGGATGTTTTTATTGGAACAGAGCAGGTAGGCCCTGGAATATATTGAAGGAACGGAGTAAACAGTTGTGGAGTGCCTACTGCTGGGTGCCAGGTGGCCTTAGAAACTAAGGCAGACTGGGGCACCTGGGTGGCTCAGCTGGTTAAGCATCTGACTGGGTTTCTGCTCAGATCATGATCTCAGGGTCCTGAGATTGAGCACCCCCCCCCCCCGCCCCGCCAAAATCAGGCTCCGTGCTCAGTGGGGAGCCTGCTTGAGAATTCTCTCCCTCTGCCCCTCCCCCCACCCAGCAGGCTCTCTAAAATAAATTAAAAAAAAAAAAAAAAAGACACTAAGGCAGGTTTTCTCAAGTGGGTCTCACCATAGCTATGCAAAGGTTTTTCCCCAATGAATAGATGAGGAAATTGATACCATTAATAACATTTTTTAACTGCCACCATTTTTTCACATATTTTCTGTTGTTGCTTTTGCCTTCAAAACCTAAAATATTTTTTTTCAAGGAGGCTCCAGGCCCAACGTGGGGCTTTAACTCCTGACCCTGAGATCAAGAGTCGCATGCTCCACTAACTGAGCCAGCCAGGTTCTCCAAAACATAAAATATTTTTTACCTGGCCCTTTACAGAATGTTTGATGACTCTACTCTTGATCTGCCAAGCTCTAAACCTATCCCAAGTCAGATGACTCCTGTACTACATTCTTCTACATCTCTAGAGAAATACCTGGGCGGGGCAGAAAGACCACAAAAAATTAAACGATCATTCTATCCTGGGTTTTTAGAAAAAGAATTGATATGATAAATAGCCAAAGACAACCACCCCCCATTCCAGCATCTTTTGTTTAAACATATTGAAATACCATCGTTGGACCCAGTCAGAGGTCACATCTCACACTTGTAAGAGAGCTTCCCTTTTTGCCTTGCTGCCAGGAAGCTCAGAATGAACTTTAAAAAACTGCAACAATATGCCTTAGCCTAGTTTTTTTTTAACAAAATCATTTCTCCCAAATCCTGTTATTACTAGTCTCCTGTCCCCTGACTTCTATTTTAATAGGCCTGTAATAGCTGCCAATTATTCAATACGTATTGAAAAACTCCAGTCTTTTAAGAAGCAGGTAGGGACACAAATGATTGATGATTATTTTGAGATAGTACCATGGGCATGCCTCATTTCACGCTGCCCCTGGATGGAGACTTTCCAAGGAAAAGGATCCTTCCCCCAAAACCTGGTAGCTCTCCCATGCTTTGGAATTATCTCCCAAGAATGACAGAGAAAAGCAGAGGAGGAGGGCAGCGTGTGGAGCTTGGAGACACACACACTCAGGTTTAAATCCCAGCTCTGCCTCCCTGAGCACTTCGGGAGCTGGTTACATCACCTCTTCTGGTCCCCATTTCCTCATAGGTAGAATGCTGGCAGGAATGTCCACCCCTCAGGTTGACTTATAAGGACCAAACAAGATAATGTACATAGCTATGCTCTGTATCATGCAAATTTTATTTTTTCCCACAAATTCCTCATTTAAAAAGAATGATAGTTCTCATCTGTGGAAAACCAGCAACAGTCCAGGACCCTCCCCTTCTACATTTTTCATGTGGGATGAACCAAGCCTGGCTGCGGATGAGGGATGAGGGATGAGGGATGAGGGATGGGGGATGGGGATGGTAACCTCACTCAAGATCCCTTGTCGAGTTAGTGGCAAAGCTGAAACCAGACCCACGGTCTCTTGATTTGCAGGCTGGTGCTCTCTTCTCCAAGCCAAGCTGCCTACTGCTGAACTCCTAGCAGAGGTGACTGCACCCCTCTGAGGATTCAGCACAGTGCTTGGCACCAGAAGGTGTGTAAAGAATGAACAAAAAACCTGCAGGAGCAGTTAAGCAACAAAGTCTTACATCATTTCACGCCAGATAACAAGTGATGTGGGAAACAAAGGCAAAAGAAAAAATTAAATTTCCTTACTATTTACTGCTCACTGACAAGTCCTTGAAACAGGCAGTGATGTTCCTCTAGAAACTCAGCTGCCTCAGTGTTAATATTCTGCTAGGGGCAAAAGGCAATCTTAGCTATCCGAACCCACCCCACCCACCCCCAGGATCCTGTAAGTCTTCTTTTAACATACAGAAATTCCTCTGGAAACTTCCTTTATCTCTACCCCCCAGGATGCATGTTGGCAATCATCCTCCAAGCATATGGTCCCCTGATATACATCTGAAGAGTCTCATGACTAAGGTTTTATTAGACAGTAATAAATGATCTTTTCCTAACAATAGCTAGCCCCCTCAAGGTCCTGGAAACCTTGTTTCCAAAATACCTTGGAGGCTTGTGCTGTCCCTAACCCCCTCCCAACTTCAAAGTATATAATCAGTCACTGGTCACAACCCCAGTGTAGCTCTTTCTGCCCATGGGTCCTATTCCATGCTCTAGTAAAACCACCTTTCTGGGGGCACCTGGGTGGCTGAGTTGGTTAAGCATCCAACTCTTGATTTCCGCTCAGATCAGGATCTTAGGGATGCTCAGCCTCTGCCCGCCCCCCCGCCCCACACTCTATTTTTTTTTTTTTTTAGATTTTATTTCTTCATTTGAGAGAGAGCAGCAGCGCGGGAGAGGGGCAGAGGGAGAGGGAGAAGCAGACTCCCCACTGAACAGGGAGCCCACAGGATCCTGGGATCATGACTTGAGCTGAAGGCAGCCACTTAACCAACCGAGCCACCCAGGCAACCCCCTCTTCTAGAAATAAATCTTTAAAAACAAACAAACAAAACCACCTTTTTGCATCGAAGGCTTCTTCAAGAATTCTTTCTGGACCATTTGCTCCGAACCCCAACATTTTCACATCAACAAGCACTCAGTTATCTCAGGTGTGAGGTCCAACACTCTTCTTGGCCCCAGGCCTTGTTCTTCTCTAGGCTCCCCTGAAGGGAATCAACTAATAGTCTCCCTCTCTCCCCCTCCCCCACTGTCCTCCCCCCCC